TAGACATGAAAAAAAAGAAAACGCATTGAATGAGAAGGTGTGTCCAAACTTTTGGCGTGTTGTGTATATATATATATATATATATATATATATATATATATATTAAAGCAGGTGACTATCATGATTTCAATGTTTCTAAAATACAGGAATGCCTTCTTCTGGCATATTTACAGACTGCGGCCCAAGAAATACGTTAATGCACTAGGACTTTTCAACTTTATTGCCCTGTTGAAAACATTTATTTGAAAGGTAATCAAAAAGTAATCAAATGTAATAAGGGGCTGTTCCTAATTTATGAGAGAGAAGGGGGTGGTGCAAAAAGGAGAGGAGGGGCATGTAGAATATTTTTTAAGCACTGGGGAGGGACTTATCTTTTTAATTTTGGCTTAGGGGAGGGACATACAAATTTAAATGGTTGTATTTTGTGTTTATTTTACAGCTGATCCTTAAAATGTGGGTTTTTAAGGCATGTTTTCTTTAAAAATTGCCAAAATTCCACCACTTAACATATAGCCAGAAAATGAAAAAAACTATCATGGAAATTATCACTGGATTTTTACATGTCCAACGTCACTTGCACACATTATGTGGGATGAATTGTCATCTTCAGCTTTTAACTTTCAAACATCAAAGGGTAGGTTTTAAAAATATAAGCACTTATTTATGCTTGGTTTTCCCAAGTCACTCCAAAAGGCTCAAGGAGAAATACTGGGGCGTGTCAAAAAACAACCAGACAAAAACAGTGCACACCTGCCGTCACCGTCCTCTGACAAGTAAAGTATCGAAGTTATTTTACTTTGATGATGTAATTAAAATAGTTTTGTTAGTTAGTATATTCTAACAGGGTTACTAGTAATCTGCAACCAAAAGTAACCCTCCCAACCCTGATGACTGTTTATATTTATTAGATTAAATGTGCCTTCAAGGCGTGAACATTTGTTTTTTGCGCCGGTCACTACATCACGTGACATTCTGCCACGGCCCCGCCCCTCTCGTAACGTCGTCTTCTCTCTTCCTTCCCGTCTCTTCCTCCGCTGCTAGCATAGTTAGCACTAGCACGTTAGCCTCCAGCAGCTGTCGGTGGCACTCAGTCAGCCAACCAGTAAGTCCGAGTGCTGGTGTATTTGTAATCATCGTCCTCCTCCTCCTTCCCTCCCGTGGAAAGACCGTGGACGGCCGGGTTGTTTCTTCGGGAGCCAGCTGCCTCACCTCCTCGGGCTACCTGCAGTAAAATATTGTTGTCCTCGCCGTCACGACAGGAAGAAGCCCTGGGACATGGCCAGACCAGAACAAGTCCTGGTGCTAGAGCCACAACATGAACTGAAATTCAGAGGTAACGTTGAACCAGAGGGCAGGGCCGGGGGCTAGCTAGCTAACCAAGAAGCCGTTAATATTAGCCACTGTGTCTAATTCCTGCATTAACCAGTTAATGTTTGCTAACGTGTCGTCATTGGCTGTTGCTGTTATGAAATAAGACGGATACAGCTAGCCGAGTCTACATTGTGTGTACGACAGCAGTGGCAATGACAGGTGAAACGACACTGTGTGCGACGATGCTAACTAGCTAGCTAGGTAGCATTTAGCTAACCTAGCCAGCAAGTCAAACGGCTCGCTGTCATTGCAGCGTCAGGGCAGGCCCGTCGTTCATTTCTCTAATTCACTCATTTGCTCCTTTCGCTTTCTCTTTTATCTTCTGACAACATGTGAAACCCCGGGATGTGATCTAATACTTGACATACGCCTTCCTCTCGATGTTGTTGTGAACACCCGGCTGCCAAGAAGTGACTATTCTAGTAATTTCTACGGCCAGGGTGCCATTGCTCAGCCTTATTACCATGCTTATTTCACAATATTATAAGCTAGCAAGCTGTGATCGGGAGATTTACCGTTTACTCTCACTGTGCAACCGAAATTCCTTTCCAGCTTTTCTATATCCAGGCAGGCAGATTGTGAAAATACAGACTGAGCTGGTGTGTCAGGGATAATGGCTACATTCTGAGATGATTGCCTTTGGGTGTGATATTACCCATGTCTCAGTTTGTTTGCAGTCTGTGGTTGTTTTATTTATGACAGTGTAGCCTGTTATAATGCTTTACAGGCCATCTGTAATTTCTGATCACGTTTAGCCTCCATTTTATGTAAATGCACATGAAATTCAGCATCACATCAGTTTGCTGCTATGTATAAATCAGCTGGGCAGACCCGTGATCCTCAAACTACAAAGCAAATTAAAAATATTATAGTCGAACACAGAGGAAAGAAATGCAAGACAGCAGCTTCCATTAAGGCTTCACATCTGCACAGATGTTTTAAGAATCCTCACCACAAGTCTTTGTGTTGCTAAATGCTTAATTAAAGCAGTCTGATGTTAATAGGCTATACAATAGACTGTGCAGTTTATGATCTGTAACATGAACGTATTAAGCCTCTTTGACTAAACATCACCATCAGCCACACAATGGATTCTATTAACAAAATAAACCTTCAAATCAGACAAATAAAATCTAAATCTCCTCAATTCAACAAGATCAAGATCAGGCGAGAGCCAGGCCTTTCCCATTATGCTCTGGGTCTTGCAGTGGGTGGAGAGCTGCTGCAGTACCTGGCTATAAAAACTGCAGCTGCCCTGATTTCATGAGATTATCATTGTCCACTTTTCAGTGACGTCAGAGGAAGTTGGGCTGAAGTCGTACATGTTCTTCCTAGTATGCAATGTGCGATGATCGGCGGTGACCGATTCTCTGCAGGCCTGTCTCATCTGGAACGAGCCTATTGCTGTAGAAGTGGGTCAAGTGATGGCCTAAGGTGATGGAATCAGGCAGTAGCTGGTAGTTTAGTGATTGATTACTGCAGAGCTTTGGATGCAAAGATAACCCAGGAGAAGATGCTTACGCCCACTCAGTTACTGAGACACAGTGGATCTGATTAGAGCAGAAAGCACAGTGAGGTTATTTGTCCAACACACATTTCCAAAACCAGGGTTCAGTTGTCAAAGGAGGTTGAATATTACATTAAACAGGGTCAGACAGTCTTATGAGGGATGCTGTGAGGGTGATCTACACAAGCAACAAGAAAATGTAGTAAGGTTGCTACAGGGTCCAGGTCTTGGCTGAGGGCGGGGCATCAATAATAAATTAAACACTTGCACACTTTACTGCTCTTTCCACCATTTTAATGTTTAATGTGCAATGTTTTTGGCAGACTCTGTGGAGTCCCTTACAAACACTACTCACATATTCATCCTTGCAGACACACAATATGTGTATGTACTTTATCATACATGTTCACTCAGTTTTGTTTGCTAACCAAGAAACCAAGCCTTGCCCCCAAATGACAAACACCCAAACTAGTAGACACAAGTGTAAGTTTGCATGCAGTCTGGAGTCACTGTGCTGTTTCTCTGTGTCCTCCTCAGGCCCGTTTACAGATGTCGTCACTGCCACTCTGAAGCTCACCAACCCTACAGATAGAAATGTGTGTTTCAAAGTCAAGACAACTGCCCCTCGCAGATACTGTGTGCGCCCAAACAGTGGCATCATTGACGCTGGAACCTCCATCAATGTTTCTGGTGCGTAAACATTTTTGCATCATTTTATATCTCATTCAGAGAACTGGGTGATGCTGATACAATCAGATATCTGTATTTTTAACATGGTGCCTTAAAAATTTGCTGATCTGTTGTTGCTTTCAGACAATATGTCCAGATCAGGACTAGGTATTTGGTATCTGAGGAAAAAATCACTATATTTGTGGACCTAATGGCCGAGCAGAGGGAGGCAGTTATTGATCATTTCACCCAGCAGCGACACTAAAACAAGTTTAGAAAATTGTGTCACTTTACCCGAATGCAGGCTATAACACAAGGAGAAGACATTGTTAAAGCTATATCAAGCTATCAGCCAGCATGTATTGTGTTTCAGCACCAAAAAAGTCTTCTAGCCTCAGCTCTACCACTCATACTGATACAGCAGTCGCTCTCTTGAGGTTACAGATATATAGAATTGGTATTTGTATTGAACCTAAAATAATGGATATTAGAATATTTGTTAGTTTTTTAGCACATAGCCCTGTAGTGTCCCTACAGTGTAATTTCTGTTGAAAGCTTTCACAACTTAGTAATACCTAAAAGCTCTAAAAGGCAGTTTCATTTACTTGAGTTGCAGTTTTTCCCTGCACTGTATATTGCTATTTGAAGGAAAAAGGTCCCGCATCTCTCACCTGCACAATTGTCATGGAAATCAGACTGATAACTGATTTTTTAACATTCATTACAAGTGGAATCATTGCACTTTATACTGATAAGTAAATGACCATCCAGGCAGATCGGTCACCGTGCGTAACCCAAATCATAAACCAGAGTGACGTCTTTTCATTGACAGGTTGCATAATAGTTGTTATGGGCCAATACAGGAAGTCACTCTTTCCCTAATGTTCTGACTTTCCATTCTGTCATTGTTTTTGTCCACAGTTATGCTACAGCCGTTTGACTATGACCCCAATGAAAAGAGTAAACACAAATTCATGGTGCAGTCCATGCTGGCTCCATACGACATGACTGACATGGAAGGAGTTGTGAGTACCAGAGCATAAGATGTGATTTGGGATGATATTGGTGTTGCCATGTTACTGTTGACCCTAAGTTGTTCTTAATGAAATGTATACTGTGTCCAAAATCATATACTAAGCACTACATACAACATATTTTTGTGTGAATAAACAATAGAATGTATCTTTTTGGATGCTCTGAGCTGTAATTACTCGTTGAAAATTCCTTCAAAAGTTTTGTTTGCAAACAGAGCTTTCAGCTGGTAGCAGAGGCCCTGTCATGGTGTGTCACGTCATGTTCAGTCGTCGACCGTTAAGTCAGGCGACCTACATCTTTCAGTGAAAAAATGAAACACTGATTAATTAATGTAATATTTATGTCGCTAGTGTTTACTTACAAATATGGGTATCAACGCAAGAGGACAGATACAAATCATAATGGTTCACTTGCTTTACTTACCTATAACTTCACTTCATAGTGCTTCTCCATCAGACATGATCCGTAAGAGTATTTTGCTGCTTCTCTTTTTGCATCACAACATGCAGCTTTTACCATTTTAGTTTCAGTATTGATACAACTCAAGGTATTTAAGCGTATTCTTGAGACTGGTTGCCACAATACAGTAAAGTGCTAGATAAAAGAAGAACTCAATTTAGTTTCTGCTCAGTTCTGCAAGCTTCCTCCTCCTTGTGTGCCATCTTCCTGGTATGTTCTGCTCCATTATTTCAAAGAACAGATTACTTGAGCGTTCCACATGTTCTTTCCAGTGGCTAACCATCTTTTTGTGAACTCCCCTCTCCTCAGTTCTTTCTTCTAACACCCAAAAACACATTTCAGGCACAGAAATTCTCCTTGCTTTGAGCCAGTGATACTCAAGTTGTTTTGCCTGGGAGCCACTTTTCTAAAAAAAATGACATGAGGCCAGGGGCCAGTTAATAAACAAACATGAATAATTAATGTGTAAATAATTAGACCGGACTTCTGTAGGGGTGTCCAGGGGATCCTCCTCTGGCATCTTTTTATTTATTCATTTATTTGTATTTTTTGCAATGAACAAGCTTTATCTTATCTACATTCAAAGTACAAAAAAAGTCCCGCTGTGACTTGATTTTATTTTCATTGTGAGTGAGAAAATGGTTGGCGTGCCACCCAGCACCCAATCTGGTCTGCAGACTGTAAATTGAGTATCACTGCTCTAAGCCCTACATCTACATTGTTCAGAATCCTACACTATCTCCAGCTGAACTCTTGAATATTTCAGTTTACATCTGTCTGTCTCGTTGTCCAGAAACTGTTCTGAAACATTTATAATACACATCCAATATCCTGAAAATGCAATTCCTCTAGATCATTCAGTAGAACATTTCCTCGAAGTAATGACTTCTAATAAATATAAAAGGCACCGATGTGATGCTTAAGTATTCCTGGATGAAGTTTGACTGTGTTTTTTTCCTGTTTGTCTCCCCTCCTCTCCTTCTCGATGTTCTCACCCACAGTGGAAGGAAGCAAAGCCTGAAGAGCTGATGGATTCAAAGTTGAGATGTGCATTTGAGATGCCTCTAGAAAATGACAAAACTGTAAGTCTTACTCTTTGGTTGACGAGCATTTGTTCTGCACTGTAAGCATTCAGTCATTAAGTGTCAAGTGTAGATGCACAAAAGTCATATTTTCTCATGTTGCTTCACGAATTTCACAGATTTAAATCAAGGCAGTCATTTAATAGCCATTTAAGATCTTAAAGAATATTCACATTGCATGTTTCTTTAGAGTTTCTGTCTTTCACTTTTGCACAGCCTTTTCTTAGTCTCATACCCATCAGCAAGACACCACTGTATCACCCATTACATTCTTATTTATTCATTTATGATTTATTTGTATTTTCATCTCACTCCCCCCCCTCCACGTCTTTGCATGTCTCTTCATCCCCTTCCTGTCTCTGGCCCCGCCACTCCTCCCCCACCCCCACCCTCACTCTCTCTCCACAGCATGAGAGTGAAACCAACAAAACTGTGTCTTCCTCTGCCTCCTCTGTTAAGACTGAGCACTCCACGCTGCCCAAGTCAGCCAGTGCCTCTCTGGATGACGGAGAGGTGAAGAAGATCATGGAGGAGTGCAAGCGGCTGCAGATGGAGGTGCAGAGGCTACGGGAAGAAAATAAACAGATCAGGGTGAGACGCACAAAAACAAAGAGGCAATCTGTCTGCATTTTGTTTCAGTCTTGTAGTTTTTTACTCCAGAATTTCCTCTGTCATACACAGAAAGAGTTTCACTTTTGAATGTGGTGTCTACTCTGCACCATATGAGACTAAACAACCATCCATATTTTCTCTGAAAGTATTCCAGTCATTATAGGAATAGCTTTCTTTCTTTCAAGTGAGGCTGCAGAACTTAAAAACTGCATGTGTCAGGTGACTTTAATTTAACTTTTCAAAAACTCAAAGTCTGTCTGTTTTATATTTTTCTGATCTCATTGAGAGCACCGGTGCCAGGAATAATGTTCTCTCTGTCAGGGATAAGTTCAACAGCCTCTAAATGATAAAATTAAAAATGAATAACCTTTTCTTGGCAGAGCTTTAGTCCAAAGACCTCTCTCTGCTGTACCCACTAGTGTTGCCAAATCTTTGCAGGGAGAGCAGCTATTGGCTGTTGAAAATGTCACCAATGACATCATGTGTTAATTTGCATATCTGTATATTACTGTCAGAGTTATTACTGAAGCACTCAGACATGAAACTGATTCAGAAGTCCAGAAGACTATGGTGTTGTACTCATGTCAGGGATTTGTGTGTACTCAACTTGTGATTGGACATTTCTGGACAGCACTTAAAAGCAGCAATATTATACCTGCTTTCAACAGCAACAACAGTCTGTATCTGAGGCTCTGTCTGCACGTATACAGATATTTTTAAAGATGAATCTCTGAGAACAAAAATCAGTCCACACAACTTTTGTTTTACAAAATATCTCTGTCCATACTATGACTCCAAGACTGTGTTAGCTGTCTCAAGCAGTCTCCCCTTTCACAAAGGTAGTCAAGTGTACAGGCCAATGTTACCTTTTTCAAAACACCTACCGGAGATCTCATCACCATCGATTTCCCTTCAGCACAAGGACAAAGGAGCTCACTCAAAGATATGAGGAACCTTCTGGATATGTGAAAGTTTTCCTTTCACTCCTCATCAACAACAATCCCATTATCAAAATTGTCCCACTATTTGCTGACTCAGCTGGTCCTGATCCAAAACCATCATTTCTGGCAGCCTTGATACTGTGGATGCTAAGGAAGCATTCACACTGGCGCTTCTTGGTCCCCTTTAAACGAACCAGGGTCTGCTTCCACAGGTAGTTCGGTTCGTTTGGAGTAGTGTGAACGCTCATTCGAACCCTGGTTCGCTTGTAAATTGGGAGTCTCGGTTCACTTGTAAGTGAACCCTGGTGCGGTTCGCTTACAGTGGGAAATGCAAACTGACTATCCAGCAAACCAAAGAGAGGAAGTGACGTAGAGCGCAGTGCATTTAGGTTAGAAAAAAAACAAAAACCAACAGTGCGAACTCGCTCGCTGCCTCACCTGATGCTCATACTGGGCAGCTTCTTGTGAAGCAAAAACAGAAACCCCAAGACTGCATAAATTTGGTGTTGCTCCATTGTTTTTGTGGTGACCAAGCCGGCTGAAGGGGGTGGATTTCTGTTTTTGGTCCAGGCCAATCAATGAGCCGGGTTTTCTACTTCCTCGTGCTTTTTTTCTTCCTGGTCAGTGGCGGTTTCGGGCAAAATCGCCCCTAAATGAGCAGCTGTTGTAACTGCTTGACGTTGTCCAGGTGGTTTGGTCCACTTTAAAAAGTGCACTGTGAAAGTGAACCAAACCAAATGAAGGTGTGAAAATGTTTGGCATTCCCCGCCTAATTGAACTGAGTCCCCCAGACTATCCTGGTGTAAATGTGCCCTTAGGTTAACCAAGTAACACTGGGCTCAGCAGACACCTCTGCACATCCATGTAGTGGTGTAGCAAGACTAAGTATAAGTGTTAAGTAGTCATTCATCCAAGCAGTGCGAACAAAACATGAACAACCTAGTCAGTTAGTCCACCTTGGTCATTGTTGTTTCAGGTGCATTATTCCTTATATAAACCAACAGTTGACATGCAACTAAGTAGATGAAGTCATCAATTCCCAAACGCTCCACACAGATACAAAGTAACCAGAGTTTGGAAAAAATCTACACCTTAGAGGGCATTTTCAAAAATCCCCATTTTAATGACCTAAAACTACGTCTGCATGTAGAAAAATATCTGTGTACGTTCAGACCGGGTCAATCGAGTGTGTTTGTGTGCTGAGCTGTTCTGACTGTATCTCTGACTCTTCTGTCGTGAACACAGGAGGATGACGGGCTGCGGAAGAGAAAGGTGACCTCAATGGGCACTCCTCACTCCTCTTCCTCCTCCGCCATGGCGACCTCGGCCATGAGGGACGAAGGCCTAAGCACCCGCATCCTGGCGCTCTGCGTGCTCTTCTTTGTCATTGGAGTCATCATTGGCAAGCTGGCCCTGTAGAGACACAGACAGACAGAGCACAGTGACAGACGGGCGGACGGCGTGCTCGGGAGGACACGTGTCAATAAAGGCAACGGAGATGTCTTCTGGGTTTATGTTGGTTTCTCTTTCTTTTCTTTCTTGTTTTTTTTAAACATTTAAGGCAATATCATGATGGTTTGTCTGGATGGAAAATAATTTAACGTGTAAAAAGAGAACGAAAGAAGGCGATCCCAAGTTAAACCATGAGTGCGAGCGTTTTTGTCACAGGTCTTGCCTTTTTCTCTTTTTTTTTTTTTTGTGAAATAATCAACACCTCTGATCTGTTCTTTCCGTCCATCCCTCCTTCCTAAATGATCTTCCGCAACTTGCACAGGTAACAGTTAGTGGTGTGTGTGGAAGTGGCTTCATGCTGGCTGAATGTCTAAAGTCTTTCATTGATTCTGAAGTCTTCAGGTTCCTCACTCACATTGTCTATAAGAAAGATCTAACACTCCTCTTCTGATAATCTCTCTTCCACTTATTACTGATAATCTGCAAGGAGAGAGTGAACTCAAGTGATCAGTGAAAGACTTTTTTTCTTGATTTAGACTCAATGTATTGTCTTCTAACAGTATGTGGTAAAAATGTGAGCCAGTAGAAGCCGTGTGTGCGTGTGTCATCTTGATTTTGCCTCCTGCAGGAGGGCTGATGTGACTGTGCGAATGGATGTTTTTATGTGAGCAGACCACAAATGGTGAAGTCACAGGCTGTTTTAGAGCGAAGGAAGAGGGGTGGTTTGAACACAAAACTGTCATCTGAACAGATTTCCTGTACACGTCAGAAAAAATGGGGGTCTGTGTTGAAAATCAGATTGAAACTTGATCATTTTTGTCGCTGATCAGGCAAAGAAATCAGTAGAAATACAGTAATTTTTTGGCCATTTGTAACAATATAACCCGCTACAAATCAAGATCATGATAAAGAATTTATGCTGCATGGTGATCAAGTTAAAAAGCTATATAACGTCAGATTTTCCCAGTTAACGCTGAAATTTTCTTGAGAATTACTTCCTCAGGTTGAGAGAGGGGCACTAGACAAAATACAAACAAAAACTTCCCCCCCTTAAAGCAGTGAACATTTTCAATATATAACATACAGTATGTAACAATAGCTTTGGCCACCTTGTTTAATTTTGCCCATGGAGTATTGTATTTGCGTCCTCTAGTGTATTACAGCAGTTGTTTGCTTCATTTTTTTTCTTATTTTATCATGTAGCCACGATGCTTCTGTTGTTTATAATATTCAAATGCACTATATTCAAGTGTCCACTCTGCAGTCTGCATGAAATGACCTGGATTTAATATGATTATTATTATTTTTTGAGTGTTGAAGTTATATTAGCAAAACAAAAAAAACTGTCTTCTCAAAAGGGACCATCTTGAGTCTGGTTTATCAGTTTGTGTGTGTTTTGTTTCCTTTCGATTATCTTTTTCTTTTGTTTGGCGTCAGGCTCCGGTGGTCGTGAGATAACTGAGACAACACAGCTGTATTATCTCGGCCCGTCACATGACCATCTAAGCTGGTTGTTATAGAGGGAAAAAAACAAGAATAAATATCTGTATTTTTTCGTTGCCTGAGGGAGCTCGGGGAGCAGAGAAGTGGGAATGTGGGCGGCTGTTGAGGAGGACTGACCTGTGAATACACACTACATTAAAGAGAAAAAAAAAGGCATCAGAGCTTCAGACCACACATGCAAAGATACAGTCACACGACAATGTAATCACACGGTAATTGGATACTCTTTTGTATGTACATAAAAATAAAGACTCAAAAAGATAACTGGCAAAGTTATTAACATACTGTAGTAAAGGAAGAAAATAAACAACCACCATGAATCATGTAGCATCATAATGAATTAAAATACATCAACCCCCCAACTGTCTGCTTCTGTGAAAAGTTTTCTCATTTAATTTAGATTTGAAAAAAGAGTGGTGTTGTGTGTGTGAGTGTGTAGCTGTGGCTGTTTGATATTAAAAGAGCAAGAAAATGCATCAGAGGTGCCTAAAGTCAACGCCCTTATGGTTTATTTTGTACCAAAAAAATGTAAGAAAAAAATCCACAAACTGCTCTTAATAGGTTAAAGGAGCACTCCACTGATTTTACACATGAAGCTCCATTTACTCTTCATGCATTAACAGCTGTAGGACGTCTTGAGAGGCTCTGGGTGGTACAGAAGCGTGAAACATTTCTCATTATAATAATTTAAGTGATCACATAACATGAAACATTTTATTATGTCATAACAAATGATTTCAAGATAAATATATTATTATCAAAAGAAAAGTTTCTTCTTGTAGCATGAAAATATCTTGTCAAAACAAACTTCTCACATTATGACCTGATACTGATCAGTTTTCTTTTTTCGAGCGTGGCAGCAAGACACCTCCAGTTTATCATTATCATAATCAAAGGCCTTCAGACTGCATATATTTAACAGAGAGCCTTTATTACAAAGTGGGAGTCTGGGGTTACATAGATTTTCGCAATTTCCCTGATAGGGAATGTCCAAGAAAGGATAATATTGGTTGCATTGTGGGAATTCTAGGATCTTTGGGGCTTCGACCACTAACTTGGACCAGTGACTCCTGACTTGGACGTGAGCCTTTGGACTTGAAAATACTTGACACCTTCCCCCCAAGCCAATATGAGAAGAAAAAGTTATAAACATTTTCCCCACACCAGATGAGTGGAATACAAGACAGGACAGAAACATACAAAATTGTGCCGTAAGCTATGAAAGTGCAAATCCAGCACTAGTTTTTATGATTAAGTTCAGTCACACTTGTTTAACCAAACTTGTTTTAACAAATACAAACACAATTTAAAAGGCATTCATGATTTTTGTAAAATGTCATTACTGTTGATAAAATGGCATTGCATTTTGGTGAAGGGCGCATAATGACTTTATTAGGACTCAAAACTCAACCTTTGGGACTCGCAAACTCTCAGTTATGACTTGGCACTTGACTCCATACCTGAGTGAGTGCAAAGACTTGAGTTACTTGTGACTTACAAAACAGTGACTTGGTCCTACCTCTGATAGGTGCTATATGAAATTGCTGGAGTACCCCATCCAAACCTTACAGATCCTTTCTCCACATGTTATAGGACAAATAAGAATTCTCTGATCTGAATGATTTCTGTCTAAAGGGAAAACATTCCCCATGGTACAGGACCATCACTATAGTAACAGAGCCTCTTGTTATGTGTGCCTTTGTGTGCTGGGTGTATTGACTCTGACAGCTGATGGAAAACACCTGCTGTGATGTCAGTGGTTTGGGTGTGGCCACAGGTTCACTGCAGCAGGACAGTGCACCTGCTGGTACTCTTGAAACATTTAGATATAAATGGAAATTCGTCATAAAATGAAATTATGCATAATGCCGAGAACAAGATGCCAGGAGAGAAAATATTTATTTATTTCTTACCTTCTCTGAACTTACAGATCTTTTTCTTTGAGCCTTCCTGAGTGACTGACAGAAAAAGGCATGACCACCATATATTAGGTATTAAACTTTTAAAGTTAGTGCAATCAGTTACATTTTAAATGAGACGTAGAATAAAGTGATTTTGATGAAATTTCACTATTTTAAGCTCAGATTTGTTTGTTTTTTTTTGTTGTTGTTTTTTTCTGACAAGCATTTGTCACACATGTCCAAGGAATGTCAGAAATTGAAAATGCCAATGATAGTCTCTGTTTTTACAGTTTCTAGCTATGATAGATGAAAACTTGCCCATACCCAGTTTGTGGTAAATTAAATACAAAATATAACAATTTAAAGTTGTTGAATAAAACCCAATAAGTAACAAACAGAACCTAAAATAAAATAATTGCAAAGTAAAGCTACACAGTCATGTTGATGCTCCAGCTGTCCAGCAGATGGAGACAGACACAACACCCCCTCCCAACATTCCATTGGGCAATGTGACGTCATCGGGCCCTTTCCAGGAAGTGGAAAAACATCAACAATCCTTGCAGGTTTCAGGCTAGGGCGAAGTGTCAGTGTAGCCTAGCAGCGAGGTAGCAAAGCTCGACTTCACCGTGTGTTTCGCAGATTCGGTTTATTATTTTATTTCACAATTAGTGTAATAGTAGCACTCCAACTATGGCGTGGATACAAAAGCTAATTGGAGGAGGTGGAAAAGGAGGAAAGGGACCGAGCCCACAGGAGGCGATCCAGAAACTCCGAGAGACGGAGGAGATGCTAACGAAGAAGCAGGAATTTCTAGAGAAAAAGATCGAGCAGGAACTGCAAATCGCCAAGAAAAACGGCACGAAAAACAAAAGAGGTGAGATACCAGAGCGTATTTTCTCATAGTTTCCACGCTGTATCCTAAGATTGCCTGGTCAACAAGGCTAAGCTAACTGTTAGCACGTTAGCTAAGTTGGCTAACTTTGCCCAGCTGTCAGAAGTGTTGCCAGTCTCACCTACCGTCGCTTTCACGGCGACAGCACCCGAGATAAGTGGATGTTTTTATCGAGTGTGTGTTAGATTTGATTAGGTTATCTCGTGAGGGGTTTTCTTTTACTTTTTAACGCTAGCTTTGCCTTTTTCCAACATACCTGTGGTGATATATTTCCGTCTGATTGATCGGTGGCCATTTAAAAAGACTTATTTAAAGGTGTGGCAAGCGACACAGCTACAGTTAGCTGTGAGACATACCACTGCAGAGAGACTGACAGTAAAGATATTGGCTCAGTGTGTCAGGACAAGGGTTGAATATCGAAGTTGCACATGTTAAACAGACGTGATATTACTGGCAGAGAGGTGGGCGTGTTTGCACCTTGGTCAGAAGTCCGCATAGAAACCTCCAGCGGGTCCTGTAGCTGCCTGGGAGCTTACTGTAGCAGATAATGATGCCACGAAACAAATAGAAAGACCCATAATGTTGTTTGTCATCAGTAATATGGGAACAAACATAATACAGTAACCAGAAGACCCTTTTATAACAAACAAATACACTATACAAGCATATAGGAGTTCATTGCCCTGGATCAGAGGTTACCAACCTTTGACCTTAAGGGACCCCTTTTCTGTCATTGAGTAAACTGACAACCCCTGACTAAGTTTTTTTTATATCATATTTAATACAGAACAGCAACACAGAACAACTGGTAATCTGTACATTTAATCCAAATAGTCGATAACTGCAGGAATTTTGTGTAAAATATGTGATTTGGATGAATTTTGGGCAGATTAATTCCTGTGAATGTTACAACAGAGATGAGTTTTCCTGATATTCTTAGGAACTTTTTATGATTCTCTTTCTGTATTATGTACTTTTTTTAGGTTTTTAACAATCATACATTCTTAATAGGCTTCTTCGGTCTTGTCTTCTCCCTTACACTTATTGTTCTATTAGCTCTTTGGTGATGTTAACTACGTACTTTTCTAACACAGCACCAGGCTGTTTAGCAGAAGGGTCTATGACTATAGCTTGTGTTCAGGACTTCCTGTAATCCTGTGGGGATTTTCTTTTTTAAACTTATATGTAGAATTATAATCTAAACTTTAAAAATAACAATTTAATTTAGTGCTCTAAACAGACATTAATGAAATGTTGAGATAAAAGGCTTACTGTATAATTTTCAGTAAGCCTTTTATTATTATTATTTATTTTTATTATTTTATTTTATTATAGGGGTGTTTTTTTACACCCCTGAAAATCAAGAAGACTCCCATTAGGACTTGGGACCCCCAGGGTTGGGAACCAGTGCTTTTGACATCAATAAGCTCATTAATGTGGTGGGTTGATTGTTGAATTTACTGTGATTATTACTTGTGTGCAAATGGACATTTTAGGTCGATGACACTGCCAGAATACAGATCGAAAGGGTCAGCAAATGTGTATGATAAATCATATGGGATGATAAATATCGTCAGTAGTGTTGTCACAATACTAGAATTTTTAACTCAACCTTGAAAAAGAGTGATATTCAATACTGTTTTCAATACTATGGGAAAAGATTGATGCTGGGGGCATAAAATTATGTTTTTATTAAAAGATAAATACATATCAAGGCTATAACATTAAACTGACAACTTTTCCTTTCTTGATTAGCTGCAGAGAACAGCAGAATGTCTGTAGTAAACATTAATAACAGGAGAGAACGAGAAACCACAGCTGGAACCCGTGAATCCATACTGCTGAACCCATTTTAATTATTCAAAATCAGTATGTAATGTATTGATAAACCAGTGTGTACTGTGGAAGTCAGGGCAGTAGTTTCAAAGACATCAGAGTAAAATTTTGACCCAAAAGTGGTGCAAAACAATAGTTAAGGGGGTCACCAGTGCAGTCAGCAGTTGTTGAGATGTGTTGCTTTCAGTGTGTTGGAGAAAGAGGTGAAACCAATTGACAGAATCACCAAGAGATTGATTTATGTCGCCACAAGCAGGGCAAAAATTATCATTTGTTATTGCAATTATGAGATATAAATCTATATTGCCCTGCCTCACCTATACTTTAGGTTATCCATTAGGTAAAGAATCGCAGGAGGTTGATAAAGTAGTCACAGTCTCTCTGGTGTTACAGTGGTTTCAACAAAAAAAAAAGCATATTCTTGTACTTGGCTTGAATACCTTCTGTACATTGACCTTACCCTAGATATTTCCTCCTCCAGCTTCACAAAGATTGACACACAATGAGTCAACCCAGCGTGACACTGACTGTCTGATAGCTTCACTACAGCCTATCAGGTTTGAGTTAGTGGTTTTGGTCATGTGACTGCTGGGGCTGTTTCATTTTTTACTTTCCAGTTTTTCCATTTCATCAACTAAGTGCCGGTCACAAGTTATGACTAATTGTTGTCACTGATGTAACAGTCACTAACATGGTAGATTGGTGTGTAAGGGTTTATCTTATGATTCCACTC